TACCTTCTGACATCGACATAGGCAGTTTGTAATAAAACAATAAAACATGTATTACCACATTCATAGTGAAAAAATGTAACATAGTTATCGTAATCCGTCATATCATGAACAGCTACTTTGATCCACCTGGACATCCCAGTATCCTAGTTACCTTGGGCATGCGCATTCGCATTTTTCTGAGTTGGAACGCTCATGCAAGAGCGAGATTGTAACGGGATCTTGGTATCATGTCACCGTACCGGTAGTTGCAAACCCCAAGTAATGTACCTCTGGTATAACACATTATGTGGAAATAGCTCAAAAATTGTTTTGCATTTGTTTTTATGTCACTTTGATGCTATGACCTTTGTCATGTATTTACATTCAAATTCACGCATAAGGTGAGATCTCGCAATGAATGGAAAATGGTTATTATCACAAAATATTTAAGGTAAATCATGGTCATGCAATGATTATGGCATAGAATTTATGTTTATGCGTTTATGTTCTGTAACCATCAATTTATGTTCTGTAACCGTCAATTTATGTTCTATAACCGTCAATTTATGTGCTATAACCGTCAATTTATGTTCTGTAACCATCAATTTATGTTCTGTAACCGTCAATTTATGTTCTGTAACCATCAATTTATGTTCTGTAACCATCAATTTATGTTCTGTAACCGTCAATTTATGTTCTGTAACCGTCAATTTATGTTCTATAACCGTCAATTTATGTTCTGTAACCATCAATTTATGTTCTGTAACCGTCGATTTATGTTCTGTAACCGTCAATTTATGTTCTGTAACCATCAATTTATGTTCTATAACCGTCAATTTATGTTCTGTAACCATCAATTTATGTTCTGTAACCATCAATTTATGTTCTATAACCGTCAATTTATGTTCTGTAACCATCAATTTATGTTCTGTAACCGTCAATTTATGTTCTGTAACCATCAATTTATGTTCTGTAACCGTCAATTTATGTTCTGTAACCGTCGATTTATGTTCTGTAACCGTCAATTTATGTTCTGTAACCATCAATTTATGTTCTATAACCGTCAATTTATGTTCTGTAACCATCAATTTATGTTCTGTAACCATAAATTTATGTTCTGTAACCATCAATGTATGTTCTGTAACCATAAATTTATGTTCTGTAACCGTCAATGTATGTTCTGTAACCATCAATTCATGTTCTGTAACCATAAATTTATGTTCTGTAACCATCAATTTATGTTCTGTAACCATAAATTTATGTTCTGTAACCATCAATGTATGTTCTGTAACCATAAATTTATCTTCTGTAACCATCAATGTATGTTCTGTAACCATCAATTTATGTTCTGTAACCATCAATGTATGTTCTGTAACCATCAATTTATGTTCTGTAACCGTAAATTTATGTTCTGTAACCATAAATTTATGTTCTGTAACCGTCAATTTATGTTCTGTAACCGTCAATTTATGTTCTGTAACCATAAATTTATGTTCTGTAACCATCAATTTATGTTCTGTAACCATCAATATATGTTCTGTAACCATCAATTTATGTTCTGTAACCGTCAATTTATGTTCTGTAACCATCAATGTATGTTCTGTAACCATCAATTTATGTTCTGTAACCATCAATTTGTTTTGTAACCGTCAATTTATGTTCTGTAACAGTCAATTTATGTTCTGTAACCGTCAATTTATGTTCTGTAACCGTCAATTTATGTTCTGTAACCGTCAATTTTCTGATATATCAATATATAGTTAAGCTAAAATGTGACGACATAATGTTTACATCACTAAAATACAAATAACTTTCTCAAAATTAAGAATACTACTCAACGTTGACCAGTTCACTCTATGTATACACTTGTGTCCATACGCTGAATGAAACTGTTGATCTTATTTTGTGAGCAATATGAAATTTCTTTCAAGCAGCATAGTGGTTCTAGCTCCAGACTAATTTCAGGTCTTGGGTACATGTCAAAAATAGATTGACCCTAAAGTGGGTGAGTAGGCCACAAATGGGAATGCCACAATAAGAGGTTTATTCACCTATGTATGTGATATTGGGTGAATCTTAGCCAAGGACTACATGGTAATAACAAATTATTTTAATTCAATTTATTTACCATGGCTTTATCTGAATTTCTCTTCCCACCAAATCCACCAGCACCAACAACAAAGCTGCCAAACTGGGTGGTTGCTACAAGTTCATTCCCTTCATCAAATGTTTTAACTGAAATTATGTGAAAACACAGCATTATAAAACAATCATTAAATATAACAAAACATGGAATAGTCCCTGTTATATATTTGACAAAACATGACATAGTTCTTGTTATATATTTGACAAAACATGACATAGTCCCTGTTATATATTTGACAAAACATGCATAGTCCCTGTAATATATTTTACAAAACAGGTAAGAAATTAGAAATTAGATTGATAAAATAGTCATTCACTTTAATGACAGAATACATACTATTGAGAATAATCAAAGCACCAGATCCCTTGTCTAATATATCAACCACGGTGGATTCAGAATGCAACGTTCCTTCTGTGGCCAATGGTTTATGGAGTTCCAAATACTGTTCTCCATGGAGAATCTAAAGCAGAAAACAAGATTAATGTTTCAATAAATGACACAAGACACATGGTTTTGGCGAGGAGCGAGTTGCGGATGCCGCAGTGAACAGCTCTATGATGTGACTCACATGTGAATTGCATCATGATGCTGAGCGCGTGGTACCTGCCTGGGGTCAACCTTCCACCAGCAGAGACTGTACAGGTGGGCGTCATGGCTGGCGTCCCCCCTGGCGAGAGCCTGCAGATAGACTCACAACCCCAGGGGTGTAAACAGCGTGGGTACCCATGTAAAGTCTGCTTGGTCTGTGGTGGAAACCCCCTTACCTGTTTATTGCTAAGGTTGTTCATGAGCAGATAAACATGAGTTACACTTGAGTGAGATTGGTAATTGTTTAGAAAGTGGTTATATAGAAACCTGTGCATAAACGGGTGAGTGGGAGGTCCGCTGAAACGATGTGCATCGTACGGAGCGGCAAAACAAACTGATGCTTGAAGGGGACACAAGCACAGATAAGCAAATGAACAGTCTGGTGTTAATTAATGTAAATCTGACTGAAAGACGAAATGTGAGCAAATATTGCATGAAGCACAATGTGGCATGGGAGGTGTCAAAATATGAAAAAGGGATGCAAGCTTGGTTAATGCATGTCATAATTGAGCATTCACACAGATTATATTAATAATCATACTGTAAATACATGAGTGATTTATATTGAGTCTACATTCAGCTTTATTAAATTATTATTTTCGGGGTCAGCAGGCAAAAACCTCAAACTGCCAAACTGGTTACAGCTAGTCATTTAAGTATAGACAATTATTATCTTATCAATCAGAGACTTATCAGAGGTCAGTGCAATTGATGACTTAGGTAATTAGGCTTAGGTAATTAGGTACATGTAGAACTAATCAAACCTAGCACTGAATATCAATATGCCAAAAGCGGTTAATTAGTATGCAAGTTAAGATATTAATTATTATATGCAGATTTATGGTTGAAACTAATCAAACCAAGCATTTGTAATAATTAGGCTAAAAGTAGTTAATTAGTATGCAAATCAAGCTTATTAATATGCATGTATTTGTGTTAAAAGCGTTAAATGACGTTTATATGAAACTCAAGGCGCTCATGTGATCTTTACATACTTGTACATAGTCAATGTGTTTTAGATATGGAAGTCACAGAGAATTAAGTTTACACTACAACATTTATAAATATTTCTGTTGCTGTTTTATTTTTTTACTTTTTTTTTATTTTTATTTTATGAATGTCCTCATGAATAATTTATCACAAGACATAATGATCAGTAACATCATGACAGTCAAAGTGACTTAAGGGGAGGTGTCGTCACCTGGGCACACGTGAGTCCCATTCGACAATAACAATGCACGCATAGATGTTTGTTTGTAAACAACGATATGCTATGGTCGTCTTCTTTTTAACTAAAATTTAATCCATTCGAAAGCCATAAAAAGAACGTATTAAACAAATTTATGGTAGTAATAATTTATCGGTTTGTACCTTGGTGGGATCTATATCAAGGCCAGGAACATTGGTAAATCCACCTGTCATAGCAGCAAATGCAGGAATCACAGCAAATGTTGGCAATACACAGAATTCATCACTGCCTTCAAATAAGAATTTCAAATAGTCCTCATCTTTGGTTGAGACCCCAACTGTAATAGTAAGTCAAAAATCATCAGATTTTACCCTAAGAATAAATATTCATATTTGTGGTTATCACAGATTATATTTAGGTTTTGTGTCAGAACTCAAAGAAAAAAAAAAGAAATATTAAATTTTCATGAAAAATAAAATATATTAATAGTAATTTTAAAATGAAAATTATGTTTATTTTGTGTAAGGTGACAAAAATTCACTTTGATATACAAGGGGTTCAAAGAATAATGAACAAGCATTGAGAATGCACTGTCTGTTCTATATTAAATACAAAGTCCATCACTAATAGTGATTCACAATTATGGGGATTATTATTGGCTATAGTGATGTATTCTGTTGTATACTGAACACAAACAAATGAGTACAAAAAGGTTTAACTAGAGTGCATTAAGGACGATAAAGTGTGAAAGATGCTAATATATCTTTTGCTATAAAGACTAACTGCAACAGTTCTTCCATTGCAGGCACTGCAAACAAAAATATTGTGGCTTGCACTGTCAACCTAATATGTTTGAGTTTGAATGAAATTGTCTCAGCCATTTCAGAGAAACAGTTTTGAACAAGTTGATAAACTAAGATTTAAGGATTTTATACAAAATGGACATATATTTGTCAAATTTGATTGAATCACGAACTAACAAATCTTACAGTATTATCTGCGAGTCTAGTACTTGTATACAAACTTTTAACTTGAATCAGAATTGAATAAAAATATAATGGCTGGCAGTCGGCCATTTTTGTTCGAATCTCAAAAAAAAAAATTATGTGCACCTGTAACCTGATATGCATGATCTTGATAAGTTTGAATAAAATTGATCTGTCCATCTCCGAGAAACATTTTCGAACACGTTTATACATCGGAATTCACCAAATTTTAAATCCAAAATGGTCACCGGTCAGCCATATTTGATTTAATTGTCATAATGTTTATGTTTGAACAAATTTGGTCATAGCTTGTCTGAGAAATGGCTTTGAGTGCATGGACAGACTTCATCTGAAATGGGTAATAAACAGAATTCAAGCCTAATACACTTTCTTTCATATTTATGCTATCACTTAAACAGAAACAATTGTGTGTACAACTTCCTAATAACAATTTGAATTATACATTTATATTTGAAAATGTTTATTTTCAATTACCTCCAAGTGCATATAGAATAATATTGTCAGGTCCATAAGTAAAGTTGGGTGACTTCTGTGTATGTCCAATGGCTTGACTCTTAAAGACAAAACAAAAACACAATACACAGAGTTCAGTTATTGAATATTTTCAATGTGCTACAAACAAAATTAAAATTTAATTTGGATTTGATTTTTTTCATCAAAAGAAACTCTTTGAGTGACACCACTTTCCTGCCAACATTTTGAGGCAACATTTAGAGCAATTCATAATTTGTTATAATTCCTTAGTAATTTTGAACCAAATAGACAAATCTTAATCAAAATTTTGAAAAAAAATATGCCAAAATTCTATTAAATGTGACAAATTTTGACCTTGGTGCTCTAAGGGTTAACGTCAAAAGGTTAAAATGTAATTTGTCTTTGGAATTCTAGAAACATATAACATATGTCATGATAATTAATTTTGCAACACAAACATGTACCCAACAAGAACCACTATATCTTCAAAATTCTTTGCGATTTAATACATATTTGGCACTTACAACATTGACAGCTGATGTATTGTTGGGTTTTATGGATCTTTCATTGTTTTCATCCACCGATAGAGCTTGCATTGCTAAGCCAGTACTCTCTGAAACAAAAACAAAATAGTAATGTAAATTCTTTTGTCTCTAATCGTGTTGTTGGTAATCAAACCGTTCACACCTGGTCCAAGGAAATCAGTAAGTCAGACAGATTACGATACCGTCAGAACATTCATTAAAATCGTCAAATTTACCTAGTTTTAAAAGGGAAAAAATGGTGTGTACCAACATGCTGAAGTCGCTAAACAAATCTTGTCAAAATGGCGTCAGTCATGTTAACTTGGCCGATCGAAAAACCTGTGATATTTCTGATTCTTGGGGGGGTTCATAACAATGCATGTCAACTATACAACAACTAATGACATTATTCGATACACCAGTATATAACAATGCTTAAATTTTTGCAAATAAATAGATTTTTGTAGCACTGAATCGCGCACATTGTCCTTTTAACATTTTAAAACATCACCATTTGCATTTACAATCAAAAAGAGCATCGATAAAAATCGCCCAATTTAACATTAATAAAATGCAGGTGTGACAAATAACAAATCAGCTCACCAATTTTTAATGATGTTTCTATCGTAAAATGTCAAAATCAAAGACAAATATTGGTTTTCACGCTGAGAAGAAGGGTAAATAAAATAGAGTTTATTTCAATTACTCCAAAAGTCAAACACGAAACATTTCTGGGTAAAGGTATGAAAATTTGTTGCGAAAATGTGTCGCTGATGGTAAAATAGATAAATTAAAAAACTACTCGCCGGCTAAAATATACCCTTATATGTGGAAAAGCTTGAATTCTGGAATAAACAACTAAGTTGTAAAAAAACAAATAGCACTGACGATGTCAAAAATAGTGACCGACTGTGCACGGATCACATGACAATGTGCCGCGCATACCCACAACATGCCTTTGTCAGGGAAGGAGGCCAATTCACACCGTTGCCAGACCGGGGAGAGAGGGACTGTGGGTCAGCAGATCTTCAAAGAGACTTCTGAATTTTTCATTTCTGTATAATTATAAGTATTGATGCACAGAGTACTTTGAGTGTATTTACATAAAGGAAGTAGTTTCCATGGTCACAACTGAGATTCATATCAAACACAATATGATGCTCTGACTGTAATAATTTCAGGGCAAGTTTCAGTAGTTTAACTATGTTCTAGTAAAGATTCAAGTTCAAATATAAATGGACATTTTGTTGTTGCAAAGATATGCTGATATGATTTGATAACTGGGCAGCATGTTGTACAAGATGACCTATTAGAACACACCAAACACAATATTTATTAAAGATAATAAATGACTTCCCTGTGAAGACTGACAGGGTCTTTAAAAGACAATAAACCGTTTAATACCTTGGATTGTAGTTGGAATGTCAGCATCTGTGAAGTCAGTGATATTGTTCCAACTGTCTCGAACTGAAAATTGACAAAAATGTTATTTGTAATATTTTTAAATTTCTTTTTATTTTGATTAACTTGTTAAAGATGGATGGCGACAAAAAAAAAATTCCGGTAAAACTCACCCTGCTCTGGGGTTGCTGCTAAGTTCTTCTTTTTATAAATTGCACCTTTGCTTCGTTGGAGTCGTACTTTAGAAAGGATAAAAATACTATTCTGTCATGATTTTAAAATCACTAAGCATTTCCAGCAAATTAGTATTTTCTCAATAAATACATTTTGAGACTGCATGTATAATCACAGATTCTATCTTCTAGTCAATCAATCAATCAATCTTTATTAACAATTAACTCAATCCCAAGAGAGTGAGAAATGGTTAGAAATAAAAAAATCAGAAAAAAAAGAACATTGAGAGATCATCAAACAGAAACACAACTGAAATAAAAAAAAAAAATTTTAAAGGACGTTTTCTGTAGCAACTATTTAAAGTGTGTTAGTCGTCTCGCTGCATCATGTTCGACATGGGTTCCATAGCCACATATACAAGGTGTGTAAAATACATTGTTCGACATGAATTTTTAACATACACCGCACGATGATCAGTGTGGCCTGCTGATGCCAATATGACATTGCGCACAAACATTTGCTGTTACACCACTAGTTGTGCTAATTCACGGGTGCGTCGTTGATGCAAAAATCATACATTGATATATTAGTTATCCTGAAAAACGTCTCACTATAGTTAGGAAGTTTGTAATAATTTGGTGAAAACGCAGGAAAACTAGAGTCAAAATATCATATCACCTATCCAGCAATCACCAAGTTCACTCAACTTGAATTTGGGGATTCCATTTTGACTTATGATTCCTACAAAATCAGTCAGTGGGCAAACTAGTGATGACCACTAGCCTTTAATAATAAATTTCTAATTTTTTTAAATGAAATATAATTTTTTTTATGTTTTGTTATTAGTATTTGAATATTTGATGGAAATGACATCAATTTTTTCTGAATACCGCAAACTCCATAGTCAATCTCCATCGTGACAACAATGACAGTGTTACAAAGTTAGAATGATACTGTAAAATACTTTATTTAAGCTGGAATTAATTTTTGCTAAAAAAACAATTTGTTTTTTTCGCATGCAGTTTATTTTCACTAATGAGTTATCGAGTTGAATGTAAAATATAGAAATTTATTTTAACTGAATCACCCCTTCAGAGAAAATAGCAAAAAATAAATTTCAATCGAAAGTAAAGTAATTTACAGTAACTCCTCACCCTGTGCCGCCCATCCAGCACCACATTCAAATATTGTATGGTTTTCATCACAGCTTTCATGACACATAAACACTACTAATGGAGCGATGTACTCTGGCTTCAATGCATCAATCATATCTGAAAATTAAATTAAAATATAATTTATTATTTATACTACAGGTACATGTATGTTTAATCTATAATGTATGTGCCAAATTTGAACAAAAGCTGACAAAGCATGCATAAGATACCACGTTTTCAAAAAAAACAAAATGGCTGCAAGTCGGCCACTTTAATTCAATGGTGAAATGAATCCTCATAGATATGTATCCTAACATGTATAATGTATGTACAATATTTGAACAAAAACTGACAAAAGATGCATAAGATACCATATTTGAAAACAAAACAAAATGGCTGCCAGTCAGCCATCTTGGATTGAATCAGTAAACCCATGCATGTGTATATGTCCCAGATAAAGTACTAGGCCCATACAAAGAATGAACCGATTTGGCCCACAGGGCTCTGAAATATGACTTCGGACGGACGGATGGGCGGACAAAGACTTCATTCAAACATGGACTAATTATCCAATTCACCAGATATAAGAGAATGTTAAACCAAGATAGAAACACACATTATTTAGTTTGATCATTATATAAAGCATATGGGACACTTCTAATTTATGAAAAATATGATATAAGTATTCAAAATAGGAGTCATATTCAGGCGAAAACAAAAACTTCTGTTACAATTGCATCAACGGAAAAGATGTTATGATAATGCAAATATGAACAGCGCTTGAACCTAACATTACACATAGATGATGATTTGAACACCAAATGCTTTATAATAATTGAGCAATGCCAAGGGCACTCACTAAATAGCAAGGCTACATCTCCTGACTGTAATGGTTGCACCTGAATTATCTTCCCACCTCTTGAATGCAAGGTAATTTGTGAGTTATAAAAATGTCGTCATCATAAGAATAATTCAACACTATTGAGTGCCGTCATTTCTTTCTTTACATATTTTTCAATAATTTCTTCCTTAATTTTGAACAAAATGGACATAATTTTCCATTTGCTACAGATTTTGATCAAAATTTCTGAAAAATACGGAAAAAATTATATTTATCTTGTTGAAAATGGATAAAAGTTGAGTTTGGCACTTAATAAGTAATGATACTGTAAATACAATTAGTTTTAATTTTATATTTTCGTTTTAATCCATTAAATTAAATCCATGAGAAACATGTAAAATTACAAAATCCAGGAAGTTTAATGATATAAAAATATAGTGAAATCGAATACATTGAACCAGTTTAACAAAATGATTCATTTATATATTTATTGAGAAAAATTACAAAATGCATACAACTTACATTGAGGCATGACGGTTGCAGTCAACCTTGATCCGGCCATCGGCACAACGGTGTTGGTATGTATATTGTATTTTTCACCTTCTATTGCAAGAGTGTTGGCTAATCCAATAAGACCCAGCTTTGCTGGAAAATGAAAGTAAACCACTCATAAATGATTCCCTTTTTTTTATTATGAATTCAAAGTAAAGTATGCCCTCTATGATGAAATCAGTGCTGAAACTTTTAGGTTGTAGTTTATTAAAACGATTTTCAATTGAAATCAGTTGCTTTCAAGATCGTATTGTTGTGGAACTATTGTGCAACATATTAACTTATACATGTGAAATATGCAGGAAAAATGTTCTCCACATATCTTGAAAATTGCACTTAGTTACACCAAAATTGAATTTGATTGACATTTGATAGCGATTTACGAAATTCACAAATTTGAAGATGATCAGATAAAAATTGTAACCACAAAAAGAAGACAATTTTAAGTTAAATTTAATGAAAAATATACATAGGTACATGGAACATGTATTATCTAACGTGGCAGAGAATCCAAACTGGTTAATATAAAATCAAAGTTTGAAAGAAATTGGTAGCAACTGTTTGAGTTATTGTAACAACAAGAAAAGTTTCATGACAGAATCAACAACGACGACAACAATAACAATGAGGAAGACCAACATTTTCCCTCATACAATGTATATCTTGCTTTTCATCTTTCACATTTCATAATGATACTGACAAGGTATTAAAGAAATAAAATAAACCTTTCACCGATAACAATCCTACCTGCGCTGTAATTGGCCTGACCAAAGTTACCATACAAACCAGCCCCAGAGGAAGTCATAATAATTCTACCATATTTTTGTTTCTTCATGTGTGGCCAAGCTGCTCTCGTGACCTGAAATGACCCCCGCAGATGGACCCTATGGATCAAATCTACACAAAGATAGAAATGGAATTAGGTTATGATTGCAATAGCTAAATATTATATAAAGTGATTTCCTATTGGTTGGAACACTGTGATGTTATTACATTTTGGCCAACCAGCATGGGCGTTACAAACAAAACATGGAAGGTACTTGCTCAACATTAGGTTATGCTCACTATCATAACCATGATATTTATGACTGCTGACAGACATATGATTGCAATAGCTAAATATTATATAAAGTGATTTCCTATTGGTTGGAACACTGTGATGTTATTACATTTTGGCCAACCAGCATGGGCCTTACATTTTCATTTAAACAAGCATCACGAACAATGCCATTATTTGTTTGTGAAGGGGTGGCTCTTGTCAAGTAGTCACTGCAGACATGCACAAAACCTAAGCATGTGTTTCCTACTATAGCAAGCGGAAAGTTTACTTATAAAATTTGGGAATTTTCGCTCTCGCAGTCAGTCAGATTTGTCAGTTATGCAATTATAGCATGCGATGGAAATAGAATCCCATCACTTATGCAAACGCTTGCACAGCACAAAATGTTTTTCGACGTTTCGGCCTATAATCTACATTATTACTAAATCTATATTATAATAAGGTTATCACGATAATGCCATAAAGTAAGCTCTCAGGCAATAGAGTCGCATTAACGATCGTTACACGTTGGTCAATATGATTTCTGTACTGTCTTCGCCCATACTTGGCGACATTCTCGTATTAACCTCATAATATTCAAAATAATTAAAATTTCTTAGACATTTATAACAATGTTACTCACCCCAATCAAGGTCACTTGTTCTTGCAAATGAACGGTCTCTGAGAATACCGGCATTATTGACAACCACGTCTATAAGAAATTATTACAAATTTATTTGGTCATTACAATACATATGAAAAACATGCATGTAACAAAAGAAATCATGTCTGTGCATTATCCCAGAGCAAACATATGTACATAGTTTTATTGAAATTTGATTGGTTCTTGATCTAAGTGGAACCAACACACATCTAGACAGCAACACCTCATAGATATTGATGTCACTTAATGACCTTCCATATTCTTGGATTTTCTACTTTTTTATCTTGTTTCTTTGTGCATTGTATTCATCATCATGCATTCCAATGGATAAATATAAAATAAACATATGCATAAAAAGCTTAGACAGGTTAACTGCATAGGCTCTCAACAAAGATAGGGTTATTATTAGAATGCAAAGGTTCCCATTATTTTCTAGTCACACACAAGTAAAAAATACAACATACCAATTCTTCCAAAGTTATCCAAAGCAGTCTTCACAACTTTCTCACCATCTTCAACAGAATCTGTTAAAACAACAAAATTTGACCAAGTTATAGAATGCTATCTCTTCAAATTAAAATTAAAAACCACGATAGATTTCAACTGAATCACACATACCATAGTTTGCCACAGCTTTGCCTCCCTTTGATCTGATTTCATTTACAACCACATCAGCAGCACGACTACTCTTCCCTTCACCTTTGATATCGCCTCCTAGATCATTCACTGTACGTAACAGCAAATGTAAAAAAAGTTAAATTTTCATGTAAATTTATTATCAAAATAGGAGTTATATGCATGACCCTGAAAGGTCATACATCCTGGTATTTTATGGGGTTAATAAATAAATGGTTCTGAACTTGAGTGACAACTGCCTACATTTCTTTGAGAAGGGGTTATTGAGAATTTCTCTTTGATAGTGATTTTGTACCTCCAGAAAGTACCAGGATGTGTGACCTTTTGACCTTTTTTGTGCACTCATTTTTTGTCTGTTTATTTTTTAAAACAGTGCTTTTATTTTTATTTTGTTACAGTATTTGATTTTTTTTTCTTTGTTTTATTCTGAAATTCTGACAAAGAACCCAGATGTGAGCTGATGTACTCATTCACCAGAAATCTGAATATGTTTTTTGTGGCACATTTGAAAGACATTCTAGAAAAATTTATTTTTTGAAAATAAAAAAAAATGCAGGCAAGACCACATTCAGGCAGCTCTCCTTTGTCAACCAATTATAGCATACCTTACTTACAGTGGTCTGAAAAAAAGTTCTGATTGGTGACTGATCCTACAAGACATCTGAATTTTAACCAACTTGGCCTTTAACATTTTCGAACCTAGGTATGAAGTCATTAGATTTTACAAATTCAACCATATCAATTAAAAAAATGAGGTTAAATATTTTCTGGCAATCAGAAAGTGAAATACATGCAAGAATCCCTCTGTGTCTGTGTGGTATACAAATTATGGTGAATATGGAAGCATGTAAAACACTACAAAATCAAAGGTTGATATTGGAATAAACTTTTTTAAGCTAATCTTTTGAGTATTAAAATCTACTTTTTCAACCGTTCACAAATTTTAAATTCATAATTTCTAAAGAATTGTAGCCAATGGAAAATTATGTCAAAAAATTTTGCAGGCCAACAAAATTATGATGTTTAATATGTACCGTTACATGTCAGTGCCATTAGTGGTACTGATGGCAAATCTATCTTGTCAGAAGAGATATTTCCATATGAGCGATTAAAATGGATCTTGGCTCATGAGAATGGTGTTTATTATTAGAAGAGATTACACAAAAATAAAAGTGCTTACCAACAACTGATGCTCCTCTTTCAGCAAACATCAGAGCATATTCTTTACCCAGTCCTGTATAAAATAGACAACAGATACAGGGGGGGGGGGGGGTTACAAAAAACGACAACTGTTGTAACTGTGGATAATGTAATGTACTTTTTTTCTCTTTATTTCTAATATAACATTTCTTGTGTCGTTATATAGTGCCAATTTGTAACAGCAATTACCGAAATGTTGACACGCTATAAATCAACATTGTAAACTAAATTACTTGCAAGTAAAAAACAATGGTTATGGGGTTATGTCCAGGTCTCCAGAGGGCACATCTATTGAAATCTAATTTTGTCAAGCGAACCTACAAGATGACAACTTACGGGAAGCCCTAGGTGAAAAATCAGAAGGCCTCTAATTGAGTATTTTATGCGTCATTTCCCCCAATACTGTGCATCGTGCATCATGTTTTTCTACAGTTCCCATCACATGACCAATTTCAATGAAATGGCAACTACTCGACCCATAGTTTTCACATCATATTTTATGTGACTTTAGTCTTGTATAGGGTCACTCTGCCCATGCAAATGTGTCTAAAACAATATTTCGGTAAGATTCGGGCATCTTTGTGTGGGTCGTATATAAACAAAAACAAAAATTACACCTATTGTTGCTTTAATGGTCCATTTCTATGATCAGAATAATCATAAAGAAGTAAATGTGAAGATCTCAGTTTATTGGCCTTTGTGATTTTGACTTTTTGGGACTTTGCCCAGACAGAGCAAAGGTTAAATTCATCGATGGACGTTGACTTGTGGTAATCACATGGAGCTAATACTACTATAGTTCCATGGTAATCACGATCAGTGATACATTGTAAAATCGCAATTTATTATGATTGTCAATTGTTTTAATTATGCAGTTATATATAGAGGGGCGGCAAGGGGGGGGGTAGCTGGTACAGTTTTACGGGAAATAAAAAGGGCTTTTTACAATTTACAAGGAAAAAAAGACGTTTTTACAGTTTACAGTGATAAAAAATGGAACATTGAATGGTCCGAAGAGCTCTCCGACTCAAATTCTCCGTCATTTCTGCGCCATGTGTAGAGACACATGCGCATATTACCCTCGTAATGCTCTTCATTCGGTTAGAGGGCCTTTTACGTCTTGACATTCAATTTTGCAGTGAATTGTGTCATCTAGTCGTTTTACAGTTTCTAAAATGTAATTTCCCTGGATTATTCTTTACGATTTTTTTATTTGGATGTAAATTCTTGTACGTACCGAGAAAAATGACACATTATTACAGCGTACGAAAAAAATATTTGATTGATTACGTTGTACGTCTAGCCTGTGATTACAGAATTACGGAATTTATTTTTTCAATTTACGTTGTACGAACAAAAAAATATTGCAATTACGTTGAACGAAAATAACCCTTGCCCCCCTCTATATACCAAATGCAAATGAAAGTAAATTCGATATGAATCGCTTACTAATGCACTGTGTGATTCAACGATCAGGCGACATAAAGTCCGATGACCCAGGCCCGTTCGAGTCCACGCCAACGGCAATCAAATCTGCCCAGCTGATCGTAGAATAAACAAAGACGTATGTTTGCATGTTGTGTGTAAGTAATTAGTTATACAAACCATTGCCAGCTCCAGTGACGAGAACAACGCGATCATCGAATCTGAGCTCCGACATGATAATGTGCGTGGGTAGGACGAGACGTTGGTGTTGTAAAGGGTCGAACAGGAACAGGTCAAAGGTTGAATTATCACCTGACTTGTTGTTATCTGTTTTTAATTTGCGGGTGCGCCCTCTGATGGTTGTAAAATGGTGTCCGTGGTATGTTACCTTGTTTTTACGTACACGTGCTATGAGGTTATTGCGAGGATGCTGCAACATATACACGAAGACAGTACAGCGGAAAAGTATCGACTGACGCGCAGCGAAAGTCTATGCGCCTGCGTACTGTCTGAGTGCATACTTTGCAGTATTATACATCTTTTCCTCCTAGGAATGCATCATGGCAATGCCGAAATCCAAAACGTTCAGAACAGATTTAGCGAACTTTTTTGTGTGGGGTCCGGTCAGGCCCTGGTAGGCATGTTTTTTTTATTATTATTAGAAGACGCTTATGCGCGTAATCGTTCTATATTTGGAATTCGCGTTTCCTAATATGATAGGATGAAAATACCCAGTGCAATACCGCGAAATTACACTGTAATTTAAGGCGTTACGGTGACAGATGTGTAATAAAATTAGTTACAGCGATACCACGGTTACTAGTAACTAGTTACGAGTAACCGTGGCGATACTTAGTATCCTGCTTGTATCTATTTCTGTTTATGTATTTATTGACACAACGCTGACTTTGGAAAGTATAACAGTAAGGTAACTAGAACTATAAGAAGTGGTCAAAAATTACAAAGTTACATTCACAAATTACAAGATTAAACATACGAAAATATCATTACAATAAATCTATACTTATACGCCTACCACGAGGTGTTGCTATTTGAATGTTTAATAAATTGTGCCGTATTAATCTGTGTACTGCGAAGACTTATAATATATAGATAAATTTACAGTGAAAGTTTCTCTGTTGTTCGTAGTTTGGACATGACATTATTAGACGGAATTCATTTTCAATTTCCTCTGTATTACATAGGTCATACGTCTTCTTTTCAACTGTTGTTTTTGGTTTCGTGTACCGGTCAGATTCAATTTTTAAACTGTGACTCCCTAATCTAAATATGCCGAGCTCTTCGCGCAGTTCAATAATGTCTATGTCTATCACATGTATGTATTTTTTTGTAATTCCAATTTTTTTTGAAGTTTCTGTATGTAGAGTGCTTGTTTATTTATTTTATTTTCCTTACTTTGCGTTCGAAATGTTTGTGTTCATAATTACAATTTGATCTATTTTTTTGTTAGTTGGGTTTTCATTTTGACGAATCATTATATATATATTTATTTATTTGTTAATTTACTAGTGCTGCTTCTTTGAGAAGTAAATTGTCTTTAGTTTATACACGTCTGTAATATTTAAATAGTTGTTTCAATATGATTGTGTACAACGGGAATCCACCAAATTCTCAATAAATACCCATTACATGTATTGGTGTATTTATACCCATTATTGGTGTATTTATAGCCTGACAAAGTCGCATGAGTTGCGCCTTCCACGGTGCTCCAAACTCAACACAGTCTCTGACGCCGTTAGGCCGGCGAGGGCGCCACTCACGCCTACAAGTCAGGCTAGTGTATTTATGGAAACACCTTGAATGAATGTGAGGTAGGTGGTATGAACATCTTCGATGGCAGAATTGTGCGAGCATTCATGACTCCATACATCACTTCCATAAACTAGGATTGCCCTGATTAATTTATCGAACAGATAAAGTAATGTAGTTATTTTATATTTACTACGTGAAAACTGAATAAACATCAACACATCTAACGTAAGCTGCGCATGCTGTAAAAGGAAGTGATCTTTGAACTCAAGTTGTGATGTAAATGTGGTGCAATACATTGGACAGACCAAGACTCTGTGACAGCGTGCAATTACCATGGCTGCTCCCGCTGCTCTGCGGTTCGACGGACGAGTTGCATTGGTTACTGGTGCAGGAAATGGTAAGGTTCGCATGTATATTAATACAAAAATAATCAGCTGACAATACGTGAATGTCGACCTAGTGCGTATTTACACGAATGTAAACAAAACGTTAAAAGTACGATGATTCCCGGGGATGTTTGGCGATCCGCTTCTCCCGAGTATGCGCTAGAATATATGTGGTATCTGAGGTCCCGAATATCGTAGAGATCTTAGAAATCTCGGAAAGCGCAGTGATTATATGTCCCACAACGTAAACTTAAGATGTGACGTCATATCGACCACACGTTTTCCGACGGCCATGTTCAATGTTACTCGGCTGATTACAATGTTGCATCTTTATGATGGCATATTGTTTAACGTCTTTAGAAATGTCGTACTAGTATTTCACAAGAGAGGTAAAGGCGATGTCAGAAGAAAAAACTCCCAAAAAAACTTCGGGATTTTTGAGCGAACCTCGGACCTGACCTTTGACCTGGCTGATTCATTGCCGAGACGAGTATACCAGTAGTTCAATGATTCAAATTTCGAGGTCCCATAGTTCATGGAGGTAAAAAGAAAAACTCTTTTTACCTCCATACATAGTTATATACTGCAGAACTTTGTTCATTAATATTATTTACAATTTATAACTTGTAGGTCTTGGTCGCCAATATGCTCTTATGTTTGCGAGTCGTGGCGCTGCAGTTGTTGGTAAGAAGGACAGATAATATTCTCATTTCCTTTTTAATTTTAGCAAAACATGGAACGGGGTGGGGGTTATAAGGCAAAATGTTACAGCTGTTATATCTGCAGTATACTGCAAGAACCATTCAATAAAATCAGAACACATATAATATTTATATATCATACAGTTGAAAGACCTGATTAGTTTTTGTTACAAATCTGTGCATGTTAAATAGCTAAATATGCATATTGATTACATGTTTTGGATTTCATTGCTATCTTCAGTTTTGAAGCTTGATTTCGGAGATTAAAGAAAACGTGTGAATTCTCCAAATTACTTTAATATCAGGACTTAGTCCAGGGTAAGCATTATCCAACAGGTTGAAAAATAATAACTGTTCATATTCCTTTTTAAATTCCTTTTTACTTTACCACACAGTTAATGACTTGGGTGGGGATCTTAATGGTGGAGGGAAAAGTACCAAAGCTGCTGATATAGTGGTGGATGAAATAAGGTCTAAAGGAGGAAATGCTGTTGCAAATTATGGTAAGTAGTTAGGACATATACTAGTAGTTGCCTCTTTTCTTTTTTAATGTAGTTTTGTTTTCGGCAACAGTACCACATACTGCATGTATCTGATGTTTGCCCTCATTATTTATTGTTCTTGCAAGAGTCTGTGACACATTCAACCAGGTTTGCAGGTTACTCCATTTTTTGGTGTACGTTGTGCCCTTTGTGGGATTTGAACTTGAGACCTACCAATCATGGGTCCAGTGCTGATGATATTCTGATGACCATGCAGACATATTTTTGAATTCTAACCATTTCTGAGTCAATATTGTTGGTGTGAATGCATGATTGTACTTTTTTGTATACCAGTCAGTACAGAATAAAAAAAAGCTTTGATAAATATTGGTCACAAAAATAAGTATATTTTAACAGGACTGTTTGGTGAAAAAATAATTGGCAATATTTATTAATAGCTTCAACTGAAATTTTGAATATATTATGCATATAAATTATATTATATTTGTATTTAATTTTGACTGACTGAATAAATTAAAAATTATTTATCCAAAGCTGACGATTAGAATATGTAATCATAATTAGTATAGTCAGAATGCATTAAAATCTGTTACAGCGACCATATTCCATTTTGTGACTATGTGATAGGGCTGTGTGGCTATTTTCCTATCATAATTTATGGCATTATGGTAATTTAATGTGCTATCCTGGCGTTAACCAGGCCCAGTTGAACATGAGCACCTGCAGACATTAACAAAGATTCTCCCAAAGTCACCATCGTTAGTTAATAAATCCCATAGCCTTCCTATTGAGTCTGGCACATTATGGTGTAGGGGTCAGCCCTATTTAGTGTTCAACACAAGATAGAATCTGAATTTGGATCTACTGATTATTATTCAGATGCTATACTATTTTTTTATCCCATGATGATGAAAAAAATGGTGTGGTTATCAAGCTTTTTTTTCTAATGTTTTTTTTTTAATTTCATCTATTACAATATTTTGACAGAAACCATAAAAAAATGTTACCATACCTTTTTAACTGATATGTGTGCTGAAATAATTTAGTTTTTTGCCTTATTTAACATTTTCTCTCAATAACTATAAAATTATCCTTTCCCAAATAAATTACATGCCACAATGTAATTTTTCCAGAGTTACTCTCATTAACGCTTCAAACATTATTTCCTGTCAATATTTTGTACATTATGCATCATGCAATAATTTATTTGTTAATTTTTGAAGTATATGACAAACCTACAATGATTAAAAAAAAACAGATATGGTTTCTTGTTCTATAGTTGCTATTATCATTATCAATTTTATTGATTATTATAAATTGACTGTTCTGTAATAAAAATACTATACTGTCTTGATTTATTAACTATTTATTTATTTATAGATTCTGTTGAAAATGGAGCCAGATTGGTACAGACTGCACTGGAAAATTTTGGACGAATTGGTGAGAATTAAATAATAATTATTTTAAGTAACTGCAAATGTGTAGTACTAGTAATCAAAATTTCCTGCAGCGAATGATTTTTTGATTTGAAGTTTTCAATTCTCTTTTCTTGCTATGTTCAAACAATCCAATACTTTTGCAGAAGAATCAACAGCAAACCACTATAATGATAATAACAATCTTTATAATAATCATAAAGTAATTACAATTATTCTTTGGTTTGTAAATAATTAAGAATTTTTTAATTAATATGGTGTGAATAACTGAGTAGTTATGTTAGTGCTTGTTTTTAGCTCCGCTGTAGACTTTGTCGAGCGGAGCTTATCATATGAGTGATTGTCCATCGTCGTTCATCGTCGTCCGTCGTCCGTGTCAATGTGTTACTTTTTCGACTTGTTCTTGAAAACTACAAGCCTGAATGCTTTGATACTTGGTGTATATGTACCTTGGGTAGACCTCTCTCAGATTTGTTCATTTTGTAATGATATCTTTAATTCTCTAATTTTGGTGAATATTTTTGTCATTTTTGGTAAAAAGTGATATTTTCGACTTCTTGTTGAAAACCGCAAGTCCAATTGCTTTGATATTACATATATAGGTACTACATGTGGACATCTCTCAGGTTTGTTCATTTCATAATGATATCTTCAATTCTCTAATTTTGTTGAATATTTTTGTAATTTTTGGTGAGAAGTGATATTTTCGACTTCTTGTTAAAAACCGCAAGTCCAATTGCTTTGATATTACATATATAGGTACTACATGTGGACCTCTCTCAGATTTGTTCATTTTGTATTGATATCTTCAATTTTCTAATTTTGGTGAATATTTCTGTCATTTTTGGTAAAAGTGATATTTTCGACTTCTTGTTAAAAACCTCAAGTCCAATTGCTTTGATATTACATATATAGGTACTACATGTAGACCTCTCTCAGATTTGTTCATTTCATGATGATATATTTAATTCTCTAATTTTGATGAATATTTTTGTAATTTTTGGTAAAAATTGATATTTTCGACTTCTTGTTGAAAACCGCAAGTCCAATTGCTTTGATAATACATATATAGGTACTACATGTGGACCTCTCTCAGATTTTTTCATTTTCTAATGATATCTTCTGTTCTTTAATTGCCATGTGCACTGCTAACAGCGGAGCTATCTCAGCTGACAGGCTGCTTGTTTAGTATAAAGCGTTGTTTATGTATTTGATAACAAGTTTTTAAACAGGGATGGCTCTGTCATGTTTAAAGTCATTTTGAATTTGTCCATGTAGTTCTATGTTGAGAAATTATTCTACCTTCTGTTGAATTATTCATAAAGTTCCTGTCTTTCATTTGAATATAATCGACAGTGTATTATTTAATTTATTTCATCTTCTGTTGTTTTACATATTTTACAAATTCTTTCATCATCTGGTGTTTCAGACGTGTATGTCTCTAAACTTCAATTTCTAGACTATAGCAACTTAGTTTGGCCATTGTTCTAATATCCTGTCTTGATATTTTTGGGGGTGCACATTTACTTGTATTATATATTATTTTTCAAAATATACTGTGTTATTATGAGAATACTTTATTGTATTCATGGTGGCAGTATGGTGATCATATAATGACTGATGTTAAGCGGTGGTCGGTTGATGCAATCCAGTACTGACTGAGTGCATACTTCGCGGTATTCTTGTGATAACCTCATTATTATACATCTTAATAATTTGATGAAAGGTACAAGCCTTTCATGCTGTGTGAATATTTACATTTTGTGATTCTATTTTCAATGAAGGGATACATCACTGCGATTTCACAATTCTGTTTTCTGTATAGATATCATTGTCAACAATGTCAGGAAATGTCACTGTCATTCCATAATTCTGTTTTCTCTATAGATATTATTGTGAACAATACCAAGATACATCACTGTGCTTTCACAATTCTGTTTTCTGGATAGATAACATTGTTAACATTACTGGAATATATCACTGCAATTTCACAATTCTGTTTTCTCCATAAATATCATTGTCAACTTTGCCAAGATATATCTCTGCGATTTCACTATTCTGTTTCTTCTATAGATATCATTGTCAACATTGCTGGAATATATCACTGTGAATTTACAATTTTGTTTGCTGTATAGATATTGTTGTGAACAATACCAAGATATATCACTGTGTTTCTGTATAGATAACATTGTTAACATTTCTGGGATATATCACTGCAATTTCACAGTTCTGTTTTCTCCATAAATATCATTGTCAACTTTGCCAAGATATATCTCTGCGATTTCACTATTCTGTTTCCTCTATAGATATCATTGTCAACAATGCCGGGATATTGAGAGATAATTTATTTGCAAGAACAAGTGATACAGACTGGGGTAGGTAAAGCTGAATAAAATTTACTACCACGTTTACTCTATTATTAGTTAATACACTAACATAAATAGTTGAGCCGTTTTCTATTAGGCTCGGAATAAAATTCATATTTATTGTCCCTGCATGTATTAGTTAAAATATGGCGTGTCAGACTTTAGCTTGAACTGCTGAAAAAAAAAAAGGAAAAATTTAATGAAAACTCAAAATGAAAAAACAAATGTAGATACAGATGAAGGTTTTTTATAACCATGTATTTGATATGTGATAAAGCGCTTTCCAAGCCTTGACTGCCATCACTGTTTGGGGATCCTAAAATCAATCTTGGGATACATACGTACTATCATTCGTTTCATGATGGCTGAATGGCAGCCATTTTAATGTTAAAATCCATCCAAATCAAGCATTTCTTTAAGTCTGGAACCAGATCTCGTCGTGTATATGCAAACTTGATACAAACATAAAATTAATTTCAAAATGGCCAACTGGCAGATATTTTGTTTTAATGGATGTTGCATGACATGAGTTGACTAATCATGTTAAAATTTCTGCATCTTGTCACAAATATGCACATGTATTTTTTCACCATCAGATTCAAGATGGCCGAATGGCAGCCATTCTTATGTAAAAATGTATCAAAATCAAGCATTTCTGCCATTCTGGACCCAGATCTTGGTTATATATGGATGCAGCTACTGTCTGTCTTGATACTTGGATTGAACGTTTATATAACAGGACCATAATGTCTCTGACATACATTGACTGATCGCACTGATCAATTTCTACAACTACATTATACATTATCATTTGTTTTTTTGTTCTGATTCAAAATGTCTGCTGTTTTGTTTACTGTTGAATCATTTGGGACTCGCGTCATATCTTGAAATGTTTATAAATTACGATAAAGTTCAGCAAATGTGATAAATACTGCTTTCTTCAGAAGAAATTCATGAATGTGATTTAATTTGGTAATTTAAATCAATCTTTTCACCACCAGCTCCCTTTTTTTCATCACAAATTCACAAAATAATCCTGTTTACAGTCTGCACTGTCCTTCAGAAGATTGGAACAAAAACCCTAATTTTTTGTTGGCTCTAAAATTGGTCTTCATTTCCAGAAATATTGAAGAATAAAGAAAAAAGTGCAAAACAATTGAAAAAAAAGTCTGGTGGTGAAAAGGTTAAAGTCATATGTACATACATATATTGAGTATACGGTATTCAGGTGTGAGGAATTTACAATGGAATTTACCATTTTTCTTACATTATTAGATCTTGTACATCGAGTTCACAGTCGTGGTGCATTCCAGGTCACTAGGGCAGCTTGGCCACATATGAAAAAACAAAAGTATGGAAGAATTATTATGACATCATCAAGTGCTGGTATCTATGGCAACATTGGTCAAGCTAGTTATTCTACAGGTAATATTGACAGCATCCAAGTCCTGGCCCATTGTCGGTTACTATTGTCTGTACCAGTACTGGTTTTTAATGTCTGCACCCATACTAGTGCCTACTGTCTGGACCCGTACTGGTCCCTGTTGTCTGGACCCGTACTGGTCCCTGTTGTCTGGACCCGTACTGGTCCCTGTTGTCTGGACCCGTACTGGTCCCTGTTGTCTGGACCCGTACTGGTCCCTGTTGTCTGGACCCGTACTGGTCCCTGTTGTCTGGACCTGTACAGGTCCCTGTTGTCTGGATCCGTACTGGTCCCTGTTCTCTGAACTAGTACTGGTTCCTATTATCTGAACTAGTACTGGCTCCCCTTGTCTAGACCAGTACTGATTCCTATTTTCTGGACCAGTACCGTTTCCTATTGCCTGGACCAGTGTACCAGATTCTGTTTTTTATCAATACTAGTAGTGGTTCTTATTGTCTGGACCAGTACTAGATCCTATTGTCTGTACCAGTATTATTTTCTTCTTTCTGTACCAGTACAGTTTCTCTTAGTCTGAACTAGTACCGGTATCTTTTGTCTGGACCAGTACTGGTTTCTATTGTCTGAACTAGTACCAGTTTCTTTTGTCTGAACTAGTACTGGTATCTTTTGTCTGGATGAGTACTGTTTCCTATTGTCTAGACCAGTAATGTTGTCTGGACCAGTACTGGTTCCTATTGTCTGAACTAGTACTGGTTTCTTTTGTCTGGACCAGTACTGGTTCCTATTGTCTGAACTAGTACTGGTTTCTTTTATCTGGACCAGTACAGGTTCATATTGTCTGAACCAGTACTATTGTCTGGACCAAAACTGGTTCATATTGTCTGAACCAGTACTATTGTCTGGACCAGAATTGGTTCTTATTGTTTGGCCTAGTACTGGTTCCTTTTGTCTTGAGCAGTACTGGTTCTTTTTGTCTAGACCAGGACTTGTTACTATTGTCTAGACCAGGACTTGTTACTATTGTCTGGGTCACTACTGGTTCCTATTTTCTGGACCAGTTCTGTTTCCTATTGTCTGAACCAGTTCTGTTTCCTAATGTCTGAACTAGTACTGATTCCTATTGTCTGAACCAGTTCTGTTTCCTATTGTCTGAACTAGTATTACTGTTCATAAATTGATTTTCAAATTTTCAATTGATCAAATTATAAACTCCACATTCACATGTTTCCTCTTATTTTACAGCTAAGCTTGGGCTGGTTGGACTCAGTTATACATTATCCGATGAAGGAATCAAATACAATATCAATTGCAATGCTATAGCGCCATTTGCCGCATCCAGAATGATGACACCAGTAGTACCAGATGGTATGTATTAAACAACCTGTAAATGCCACTTTCATAACATACATAGGCTTGTTAATCGACTTTCTGTCAAGTCCTGATCCATTTTTGTTTTGTTTTGACCAGAAGTTGTAGCACAACTGAAGCCTGATTATGTGGCGCCAGTGGTTTTATATTTATGTCATGAGAGTTGTGATGAGACTGGATCACTCTTTGAAGTGGGTGCTGGATGGATAGCTAAATGTGAGTCTTT